TATAGATTACCATGACGATCGAAGGTCAAACCTCTGACATCATTGAACTGATTTGCTTCTTTTCCTTCACCATTTTCACCCACAATAACAGTGCCCTGCTTCGTTCCTTGGGGCCAACGTGTCACTCGATCGTTTTCCGCTTTTGCCACATAGAATGTACCCGTAGTAAGGTACAAATAATCCAAAATTCGAGCGAACTTTTTCATGCATATTCTGATTTTCAGGTACAAAAAGTTAAAATATTGCGATGGTGTCAAAAATCGCAATTTTGCCTTGCTTTGGAAAAAGTCGTTTCCTGAGCTTATTTTCGTAGCTACAAAAATTTGAACCAGATATTTGAAATCAGTGCAAAAGACTGAGTTGGGAGGATGTGTTTTCGTTTTCCTAGACCTGGTTTCTTGGCCTTCATTACCGGTCAAAAAGGATGGCTAGTAAAAAATCTCGAATTCGGTATTTTAGCTTTTTGGACATTTCTTGACCGAGAAGTCGCAGAAGGCTCGCAAACGTCTCACTTTGTTCAGAATTCGATTCTCTATGTAGGTATCCATCAATTTTATCCATGAATCTCTACTATCAACGTGAAATTTCGAGATTTTTCAGTGATTGTAGCGTTCATAGATAGAAATGTATGGTTGCTTTGGTTTGATCGACACAGACAAGCATTTTGTAATACCCTAGACTAAAGTCAAGGGAAAAACACGCCAAGCCGCACAAAGGCAATCGACAATGACAACATCGAAAATAATACTTGGTCTGTGGTCTGACGTTTCAGTGCATCTGCTATAGTGACATTGATGCACTTCAGTAAGAAAAGGTGCGCCACAAATTCATTGGATGAAATTCTCAAATTCAATCAGAAAACCTAAAAGTTTTTATCTGCAAAAGTCAAGTTTTTCTGATGGATAGCGGTTATCGAGATATTCGCTGAAGGCGCTACTTTACTACTGTATTTTTTCGATGTAATGTGGCGTCCTCAGGGAATATCTCGATAACCGCTATCCATCAGAAAAACTTGACTTTTGCAAATAAAAACTTTTAAGTTTTCTGATTGAATTTGAGAATTTCACCCAATGAATTTGTAGCGCACCTTTTCTTATTAAAGTGCATCAATGTCACTATAGCAGATGCACTGGAACGTCAGACCACGGATCATTTCTCCGTTTTTTTGGTTTTTAAAATAAAGACAGTATTGACGTGTGTGCAGTACTTTGCAACGATTATCGAGCTTACAACAAAAATGACAACACAAAACTGAGTGACACATATGTGAAGGTGGTAAGTAGACTTTGTCGAAATGGTTATGAAATTATTAATTGGAATGAAGAAAAGGAATCGGCGTTAATGAAAACATATATAGAGAAAAGTCAAATTGTTTAACAATTAGTTTAACTGTTTAACAATTAGAATTTTTCGTCTGTGCATCTGAGAATATTTTCGATGTTTGTATTATATGTATATCTTAATTCTGTCAGTATATATGTTAAGAAAGTTTATTAAATTTTTGTGACTTAAATTGTAATAATTTGATACTAACAAAAGAAAATTAAAATTAAATAAAGTTCTAGATTACGTGAAATTGATAAACTTTTTTTCTGAAGTTTAGTGAATGGAGAACAAGCTGACCTTTCTGGACTGAACTGTTGGTGTTCTTTAGAATTCTTGCATAATGATGAACAAATCATATGATTTGTTCCTATACAGGATGCTGAACATTTGTATTTTCTTGACGAGAAGACATGAAGTTCTTGCGGAGAAACATCGTTTTGTTCACCAGAAGACATGTAGTTCTTGTGAAGAAACATCGATTTCACTTTTTTCGCGGAAAATTTCAATAACTATTGTAACTCCGTATAATCTAACACAAACAGCTTCGTTATTATCGATAAACACAATGCCAGATTCAACAACAACAACAGCTCAATCAGAGCAAATGAATCCAGTCTCACAACAGTGTCATAGAGACATGATAAAAAATGTTGAATTTTCTGGGCATGAATCACAAAATGTAAGTTTCTTGAATGAAATAAATACAATCGGAAATATAACACAACACAAATTATTTTGATGGCAATATCACGCCTTACAGGTTCAGCACGTCAATGGTATACCGATAATACATCGAAAGTGACATCATGGGAAAAACTGCAGGAGGAGATGATAAAACGTTTTAAACGTACCACATCGTCCATAAAACTAGAACTACGTGAACGCAAACAACATGCAGACGAATCCGTGACAAAATATTACGATGATATTATCCGATTGTGTGATGAAATCGATTGGGAAATGTCAAACTCAACGATTATTGATTATTTAGAAGAAGGTTTGCGTGAGGATTTGCAAGCGCAGGTCATGCTTCAAATGAGTATGTTGCCGATACAGAAAAAACAACAATAAAATTTTTCCAAAGTGCTAAAACTGTCGAGGAAATACGTAAACGTCGTCAATATACTGAACCACCACAACAACCATATTTCCAAATACCAATAGCGACATTACATAAACAACAGTCTCTACATAGTATTCGAAAAAAGTGAAAGCAATGTTTCTCCCCAAGAACTACCTGTCTTCTCGTGAAGAAATCGTTGTTTCTCCACAAGAACTTCATGTTTTCTCTTCAAGAAAGCGATGTTTCACCGCAAGAACTTCATGTTTTCTCCTAAAGAAATCCATGTTTCTCATCAAGAACTTTATATCTTCCCGTGAAACAATCGATGTTTCACCGCAAGAACTACATGTTTCCTCCTGAAGAAATCGATGTTTGTCCACCTGAACTTCGCGTTTCCTCTTCAAGAAAGTGATGTTTCTCCTCAAGAACCCTGTGTTTTGTCGTGAAACAACGGATGTTTCTCCGCAAGAACTACATGTTTTCTGGTGAAGAAACTGATGTCTCTCAACAAGATCTTCATGTTTTCTCTTCAAGAAATGCATGTTTCTCATCAAGAACTGCGTATTTTCTCGTGAAACAATCGATGTTTCTCTTTTCTGTTCATCTTTTGTTGTCAAGAAAGCGATGTTTGTCTAGTCGAGAAGGCGATGTTTCTCCACAAGAACTTCGTGTTTTCTCGTCAAAAAATCGATGTTTCTCCTCCAGAGCTTTACGTTTTGTCGTGCAGAAATCCATGTCTTCTCATCAAGAAGCGTCTTTCTTCACAAAAACTGCATGTTTCTCATCAAGAACTTTATATCTTCTCGTGCACATTTCTATAATGAATAAATACAAAAACGAAAAATTTGACTTCGGTACGTTAGCCATAACTGTTTTCTGCAAAACAAAATAAAATTCAAAGAGAGATCAATATTAGTCCGTTAAAAGAGAGCAGA